TCATCGAAAACTCTAAATGCAATAACTCTTTTTTGAATACTCCACTCGTCATCTATCCAATGACATGTTATGCCCATGTAAAAATGATTTTGCCAATGATCACTCCAAATATCACTACCTATATGCACGCATCCATTAAATTGCATAAAAAAGTTTTGTAAATCTTTTTTTCCATTTTTGTAAAGATCTTTAATTACTCGTTTAGTTGAATTTCTAGGAACACGTTTTACTTGTGGAGCACATGCTTTTTGTACAAATTCATTAAAACCAAATCTTTCTCCAAAATTAAATGCTAAATGCTCAACGGAAATAAATTTGCCTAATTCTTCCTTATAAGTTTTTTCATTAAAACGAAATAAAGGGGAAGTGTTAGGATTGACGTACACGGAAATTTGTTGTTGCCCGATATCGATTCCCGTTTCGGTTGGATATTTGCTCCTAAGATGTCGTTTAAATGTTCCATATCCTTGTCCACCTGTATATTTATATATTTTTCCACAATATTTACAAATTATATCATACCTTTTTTGACCAATATCAAACCTTTCCATTTTCGTGAAGTGATTCCAAATATCAGATGTAAATTCCCGTTCCACTTCCTTTGTTGTAGATATTTCGGCAGGAGGATGAAAACTTTCTTGTGTCGGGACGCGTTCCACATCGGGAAAAATGTTGATTTCATCATCTTGAAAATCTGCATATTCACGAGGATCAAAAGAATGATGGGATTCCGTCATGATATTCTTACCTTTGCCAGTTGGCACTCGACTTCCACTTACCATTTTTTGAGTGGATTGAGAGAATTGAGCGGATTAATTGGGAGAATTAAGAAAGAATTGCGTGGATTGAAAAAATTGAGAGAATTTAAGAGAATTTGAGAGAATTGTGAGTATTGAGAGAATTTGAGAGAATTTATAAGAAAAAAATGAGAAGAAAATTTAGGATTAAAAAAAAGAAAAGATAACCGTTGCAATTTTGCAACGGTTATCTTTTCTTTTTTTTATAAATTTTTGCCCGTTTGGGCGTTGGCCTTGGCCGTTGCCGAGGCGAGAAAGGTGCCTTGGCAACGGGCCGCAAGGCGCAAAGCGCCACGCCGCAGCGGGCTCGCGGCGTGCGAGCCCCGCTCGCGGGGTTTTTTTTTTTTTTAAAAAAATTTGCCTGACGGGGCTGCGAGCGTGCGAGCACCGCCCGAGGCGAATTTTTTTTTTAAATTTTGCACTGTTGCCGGGCGCCACGGCAACGGGCGCAGCACAGCGAATGGCTGCACTGCGGCAGTCGTGCGCAGCTTTTCTTCTTCTTTTTTTTTTTTTTTGGAACCGGGCCCGGAACCGACGGTTCCGGGCCGATTCAAAAATTTCTGGAACCGGAACCGGGCCCGTAGGGCACGGGCCGATTTCGGTTCCAAACCGCGGGCCCGGTCAACGGGCCGGGCCCGGGTTTGACCGGGCCGGTTCCGGGCCGAAACCGGCCCGTGGCCATGACTAGCCCGCCCCCTTTTTTCTCTTCCTTTTCTTCCCCTCACGCGAGCTGGGCCTGGCCCGGCCCAGCTCCCTTCTCCTTCCTTCTTCCCCAGCCGGCTGTCTCATTCTCTGCCCCTATGCTCCTCTGTTTCTGACGTCGCCACAACGAACGGCAGAGCGCGGCCGCCCCGTCCGGCCAGAGTAGGGCCGGGGCAGCACGCCACAGGGATTGGCCATTAAGGCCAGTCCCGTCTTCCCCATTTCCCGGGCTCTCTCTCTCTCTCTCTCTCTCTCCTCTCCCCGTCTCTTCTGCGTTGCACTGAATCGGCCCCCCCTCTGCACCGGCCTAAGTGGCTGCGAAAGTCGCGGGCCAGAGTAGGCCGGTGCAGGCCGTCGTCAGCCGACGTGGGGGGGCAGAAGCAGTGGCTCTCGGCCACTATAAAACCAGAGAGGAAGAGAGAGGCCCCGGTCGGCCATTATGAGTGACAAAGAGAGAAACAGAGAGAGAGAGGGATTAAGAGAGAAAACCGAGAGAGAGAAAGAACAGACCGAGAGCATACTGGCCGTGAGGAGAAGGCCAGTCGTCTCGCAGGTGCCCGCAGACCAGCCGGAAACCTCCCAGACGCACCGCCGATCGGTGAGCAGTCCCGGCCCTGTTTTTACTCTGTTTTTGTGCACTGGTCGGCTGGGATTCGTACCGGCCGTTAGGCGCGAATCCCGGCCCATACCGACCCTCCTCCCAGTCCTTAGTCGCTGTCGGGATCGATCTGTAGCTGCCTGAGTGAGCCGGAGTCCCGAAGCAGGTCGGAGTTCCCTGTTTTTTGCAGCACCCCCCGCCTGTTTGATGAAATGCCTCAAAGAGGCTGATTTGTTTTTTGGCCGCCGGCCGGCGAGCCGGACGTCGGACGGTAAGTGGACGGCAGAGGAAGCTCGGGGACGGTCCTAGAGGTCGGATTCGGGGCCTGCGCCGGTCTGGGTCGGCCGGCGGAAGGCCAATTTTGGCTCCGCCGGCGTCCCCGCGTGTTTATGCACGCATGGTTGACCCAACCCGGGTCAACGCCTGGGTCGGATCTATTGACCCGGGTCGGTTTCGACCGACCCGGATCAGCTGATCCGACCCGGGTCAACGCCCCGGGTTAGATCCGTTGACCCGGGTCGGTTCCTACCCGATCCGGATCAATTGACCCGAACCGGGTCAACGCCCTGGGTCGGGTCCGTTGACCCGGGTCGGACCTGACCGACCCGACCCGACCCGGTTATTATTATATTATATGTTTTTAAAAAAATTTAATTAAAAAATTTTAAAATTTTTTTAAAAAAAATTTAAAAAATTAAATTTTCTTTTTTTTTTCTTCTTTTTCTTCCGTATTTATTTATTTTATTTTTATTTTTTTTAAAAAAAATTTTCAAATTTTTTTTAATTTGTGTGATATATTCTAAATGTTTAATTTATTGTAGTATTATTATGCATATTTTTGTCTTGTTTAAATTAGACAAGTCTGAGATTGCGCGGTAATATTTGGCATGTTATTTTTATTATCGTTGTATTATTATGCATGTTTTTAATACAATCGCCTGAGTTGTGTTTTGAATGTCATCTGACTTAGTTAAGGTTAGAACCTTAGGCTGCATGAATTGTTGTGTTCCTGACTGCTGATTGTTTCTGATTATGCACTCGCTTGATCATCTCACATGTTAGGAGAAAGGTCCTAAAACCAATCCAAATTGCCTGACAAATGTTTTCATGAAATGAACAGGATAAAAAGGTACCGAAAGGGCATTAGTTATCTAACTGGTGTAACCAAGTCCCCGAATTCAGTGAATTTCTGGTTCGTAGGAATAGGGTGATTCTCCCATCACCTTATTTGGGTTTCTAATCGACCCACCCCAAATCGATTAGTGGCGACTTCTTGGTATAAACCACTTGCATGTTAAATACTTAAACCCTAAGTCGCGATATGGTATGGGCTTGGGAGAGCCCGAGTTAAGTCCCGAACCTAGACTTAGCACGTACCAGGCGAACCCCCCTCTTTTTGCATATTCGATAAAAAAGAGCGGGAGGTCGGTCGCGACAATGACATTTTTTATTAACTAATTCTTTGAAGCGGTGCAAGGGAGATCGTTTTTAGGAAAATGTTTTTCGAACCATTCGTGCAAAACAAACACTATCTTACTATTGGATGATTGGCATGCGAATGTATTTGTTTAAGAAATTAACTTCAGTCACACATGTCGCTTCTCTAACGGTGAATCTGTATGGTATTTTTACATTGGCAGTGGATTTCAGAATGATTCTTTTGTGATTTGCCATTTCTTCTCTCTTTTCTCGTTTGTGGATGTGATTATAAATAATTTTGTTCATAAGATGTAAGACTTGAAATTTTATGGTTAAATTTGATAACCTACAAGATTATACAAATAACGAAACCTAGGTTTGCTAATATAAAGAAAAGATAATAATGACATGAAATGATCTAGTTTGGCCGTTGTATATTATTTAAGCTATGCTATCGTATCATATGATGATTAATGATATACAATGTTTTCATATTGGAATAGAACACAAAAATAAAAAAAAAATGGTGCTAAACCTTCACAAGAAATACTAAATATTATTTTCTATCGCCTGCATTACTCCTTACATATCCAAGATTCCCACATGCGTAAAATAACTTAAACATAAAGAAAGGAATCAAAAGGAAAATATTCATAATCGTATTCAGATTCTATATCTATTAGGGGTGAGCGGTTCCAGGTTCCGGTTCGGTTCCGCTTGGAACTTGGAACCTACCCTCAGGTACAGGTTCCTCAATTTTTGGAACCTGGAACCTACCCGTCAGAACGTGAAACCTGGAACCTACCCTGTCACAGGTTCCAGGGTCGGTTCCAGGTTCCAACAGGTTCTTTTTTTTAATTTCGTTTTTAATTAAACAAAACGAAAATAAACGCAACAATGACTAGTTATTAAAAAATAATATTTCGCTTAGTAGAAAAGGGATATTATCTAACAACCTAGATCCATTTATGCAGAATAGAAAACACCAAGAGTTCAGCATCATATAACTTTATTATCAATGGATCAGTGCAAACATATTTAGTAGAATGATATTGTCAATAAAAGGCCAATTAGCAACACCAATAGCAAACCTCGTTAATCGAGGAAAGAAACTTAAAACAATATAATAGTGGAGGAGGCAAAAACTAGCTAATTAGGACTCAATATTGCAAAGAGATATCTTCTATACAAAAAGCAATAGAGGACATATCGCAATGTCGTAAAAGCATTTATACAGCTAAGCCCCCTTTGTGCAAGGCTTACTTTGCTGATGTTCAACTTAAAAATCATTGGAAGGGATAAAACGAAAATAAATCAAAGGAAAACAATCCAAAGGTCCACCACTTAAGACATACATGTTTCTCGTCGAAATCTTCTTACTTTGAACCGCATAGATCGGGCCGGTGGTAGCCCCACACCAAGATGCGATCAACATTGTAGGAAATGCAAAATAGACGAAGAGGAAACGAAACCTACCTCTTGCAAGCATAAATCATTGCCAATTCCTGAAACCGAATATCATAACAGATGCCTATACCAATACGTCCAACGTCTGCATAGAGCCAAAAAGAAAAGAAAAGAAAAGAAAACAACTCAAACAATAGATAGACCAGAAGACTCAAGCAACTAAATGTTCCATACATAGTTACTTAAGGAAAGAAAAGTTACCTTGCGGTGCTTGGCTTTCAGCACTCCAATGGAACCAAAAACACAGCAAGCGTTGTACAATCGATCACCACATCTTTCTAGGATTGAACTGCCCACTATGGTAACCTTCAAGGCCTTAGCAGCTTCAGATAACATAGCAGTTGAAGGAGATGAACCTCCATCAATGTCCTCAGCATAAACAGGGAAGCTATCATTTGAATAGGGACTGTTCCATATTTCCTGGCACAGAGTCAACAAAACCATGAGGCAAGCTGGGTGATTTTTCCCTCCTTTTATAGAACGGTGCAGGCTGCAAATATGGCTGATTTTCCTGGAAGCCAAAGCTTGCAGTATAAAAACATAGCAATTACATAAGCATCAATAAGAACTTAGCCACAGAAAGTCACCCAAAACTGATGAAACAGACACGTGCCCGCTCAAGATGCTTTTATCCATTCTTTCTTCTAGTGCACGCCTTCACAAAAGGGCATTTGATAAGGTATACAAAGTTCTTGTAAGCCATAAATTTCCCATTTTGCAATCAGGAGGCACATCCAAACTTTCCGCAGCTACACGAAATGCTCAATGACCTTTTTCATTCAACATGGGCTACATTTGCCTAAACATCTGCTAAGTCTACCTAATGCAGAGAGACTCACGGGCAAGAGAACAAGCTGAGCGCCCTTGTCCACGGCCTCCCGAATCGCGTCACTAGCATGGGCAATGTTCCTCTCTTTATCCGCCGTCATCGAAAGTTGGCATAGCCCGATCTGAAACTGAAACCACACCACCCAAAGAAAAGACGTCAAATATCGAGGTCGCATCGATGATCGAAGTCGAGGGGTTCGAGCCCATGCCTTGGCGAGGGGAGGAGTGGGCAGAGGGAGCGCGGGCGTCAACTGACACTTACTCTTGTCCTTGCTCGCTCCCTTCTTGCGCCTCCAGCCACAGGCCGCTCGATTGGTCACCAAAAAAACCCAGAATCGGAAATCCGCCGTGGATGAGCCGGACCGCGGTTGATGAAGACAGAGGAAGAGCCGAGGCGGACGCCGAACGGAGCGAGGAGAGGCGAGAGGGTCTCGTCGAGTCGTGGGTGCGGGGAGTGGGAGAGAGGGTGCAACGGAGGAGCAACCGAGAGAGAGAAATTTGTGAAGAAAAGTTGGGGTTTTTATTTTTTACTAGGAAGAGCGTCGGTTCCGGTTTCCGGTTCTGGAACCGGGAACTGGAACCGGAACCGGCAGTTCCTAAAAAATTGGAACCGAGAATCGGAACCGCCCACCCTAGAACCGGGAATCGAACCTTACCCGCTGGTTTGGTTTTTCGGTTCCCGGTTCTACCCTAGAACCGTGCTCACCCCTAATATCTATAGAGAAATAAATTCATCGAAGTTCTAGCATGGTCCCCAAACCTTTCATATATGACGTATGCTTAGCCTCTTTTCGTTGTGCTTCGGCCAGATCGATCACTCTCCTGAACAACCATCGGGAGCACGGTGAACTTGGTCTCCAAAATTATTGAGCAAAGTTTGAAAGATCTCGCAATCTAAATATGCCAAAGGGACCCAATAACGCTTCTCCTCTTCATCCACATATACTCAAAAGTATCCTTCTGGAAGGATCCTAAACTGCTCGACTAATCTCAAACTTTTCAGCAATTTTTTCTTTCACTTATGAATGTCGGGAAATTTCGGTGAGCTCACTAGGCTTGAGAGCATGATTGTGCAAGACTAATAAACGTAATTTCTAGTCGAATTAGGATTTTTTTTCCTATAATAACTCATAAGTATATGCATCTTGGGATTAGTTTTTTAAGTTTTAAAAGATGAGGTCATGATCTACTCTTACTAGGAATTTGAAACCGTGCAAATGTCTAGCATATGCATAAGCTCTTTCATTGACTAATAGTTAACAAGTTGAAGAAAGATTAATGGGAAATTCGACAAATTCTTCCTTGGGTGCTATCCTCATGCAGTGCACCAAAATAAATAAAGAGAGTTCAAACTGTCACCTATTATATAGATTTTCATTTATATTATTGACAACTTTAGTCATTATATTATTCCATAATATTTGTATTTTAGGATTGCTTATTTCCATTATCTATATTATTATATTATGCAAAGAGGGTCAATTTTTAAGGGATCACAATCTCTTTTTTTTTTCTTTCCCAAAGAAATTTTGTGGATATTATTTCAATGAACAAGCGTAAATTGATATTTTTATTTTAAATCTCTCATACTCCGATATTAACATTTGAACCTTTTCTTTCTTGTAAATAACGTTACTTGAAAAAAAAAATTCAAATCTTGAAATATTTTACTCTTTTAATGTACATATGTCAATAATTTCTACATATTAATTAATAATTCAAATATTTGATAAAAAAACCGCCAAATCTTCTTACAAGTCATATTTGCATACACGCAACACATGCAATTAATTTCGTGATTGTCCATGTTTCCTTCAAAATAAATCACGATGGCCAATAACCAATGGCCAATTCATGAGAAACTGTTTGATGAATATAATTAACACACTAAATTGAATTTGAATCTTCAAATTCGATTGATCTCATGTACATCCCCGGATTTGATGGTGTTCTGCACCAATGGATTACCAGAATATATGCCTCAAGTGTAAAGAAAAAACTGTTACAGCTGTACCCTTTGACCCTGTTTTAAGCCTTGAAATTACTCTCAGGCAACAAATTATAGTCTATTATAGGCCCATTTGGACCAAACTCAGCGTATGTACCTTTTTTTTTCTTTCTTTTGAAATAACGATAAGGTAATATCACGAATAAGTTTTCTCATAATAGACTAAGTTTACCTCTCCAATCTAGTTAAAGATCGGCCATCCACGATGAGATTAGATGATTTATCAGCAATTACTTTCTCATGACCCAACCCCAAGTGTGTACCAAAAAAGAAACGAACTTGAGACTCCACACTTCTGGAGATGCAGCATGACCATCTCCTTGGATTAGTATGTGGTCCAATTTCATGCAAAAAGAGGTTGTTGACATGTGGGCAGAATTTGAAGTCTATATGATCCAGATGCTTGCGGACTTTGATAACTTTGGCTGATTATTATTCAATTTTTTTTCTTGCCTTGGTCATACATGAGGCCAATTAATCATTAGTTTGCATCACACAAATAAATTCACCATAAACCAACCTACTAGGGTTTGAGTAGTCTGATTCTTTGAATACCATACCTTAACCTTTTTTGTGTTTAAAAAAAAAAAGCGTAGTCTGTTCGTTTTAGTTGCAGTGCGTAATTAATTGCTGTGTTCATCGATTTAATTTAGGGTGAAACTGTTGGATCATATGAGCATACTTGATTTGAGTTTTAAGTTAATGTACGCTTTGTCTAAATTAGTGATTTTCATTCTAATCAATTGTCAATGCTCGAGCGATGTCAATATCGCTGTGAAAATCGTTGATACGAAACAGATTATGATTGTTCCTTTTAATCAAACATATAAACATAGGTAGTTAGGAACTAATACCAAAATAAAAGAAAATAGTTAATTAACATCGACTGCCACTGAAGCTATTTGGATTCTTCATCTGCTCTAAGACAATTCATCTAATTAAGAAGCACGTAATCCCATTGCTTTTTCCTCCGCCATATACGCTTGGCCTCTTTGCACTCCGCCTTCGCCCGATAGAGAACCTCATCGAAATCCTCTTCCGAGCAAAGTAGCTTGACACGATCACACCCCGAAACAAGCTCCTCTCGAAGCAAATCTTGGAAACTTTGGCATTTCAAAAATTCCAAACGAACCTCGTAACGTACCTCATCTTCGCCCACATATACGGCAAAGCATCCTCTTGGAGCCAGTTTTGGCGATTTGTGCTTCAACCTTTCGATGATAAAGTGAAGCTTTCTTGTAATTATCGCCATTGAACACTTCTTTTTGTTTTCTTTTCTTCTCAGGAATTGCTTTCTCAGGAGTTGCTGGGAACTTTAGTGCGATCACAATGCAAGAGACTGATGGGATTAAAACGTAAATTGGAAGAGTACTGCCAGGGTTAGGTTTACTTTTCCTAGAAGAACTAGTAAGAAGATTTAAAGAGTAATCTATCGTCTCATCTACTGATACGCTTAAGAAGACATGGTTGATATATATCCTATCCAGAATTTGAAATAAATAACGGTCCATGATATGGATAGAAAAACGTGAAGAAAAATGTCATAGAAGAACAATGCTTGCGAAAGAAATAAAATAATGTGTGACGTGGAATTCTTGATCTGATCCAACCCAAGTTGCCAGGGTTAGATTACTCGTGGAGCATTTGATAATTTTAATTTTAAAGATAAGTATATGATGATTGTGATGTAGTCTTTCGTGGTATCCAATACCATTGTAAAGAGTTTTTTCAAATAAATGTTGATTTAAGTTAAACACATGCCTTCTCGTTTTGAAGAAATTCTGTTATCCTAATGTGCGACACTCGTGTTAAATTCTTTTATTCGGGTAAAATCAAATTCCAGAACTCCTTGCGGTTGCTTCAGTAGTTAAAAGATGGAAATGTGCGTGGATTATAGGAAACTATTTGATGTGTTGGTCGAACGACTGAGGTAGTGGGATCGATTAATCACATTGCCCGTCTGATATGCTTGTTGTCCAATTTTAAACACGAAATTTTATGGATAAATAAATTAATTGAAGATTGTAACCTAGGTTTATTACTAATACTAAAAAAACCTAAAGTTATGTGAAGGAAAGATAATAATAGCTTAAAATTATCTAGTTTCTTTCATTCATATGGTAGGGGAGGAATCGATGTAGAAATTTTTTCTCAAGGGACAAGCTAGGCCATTCGTTATTTTTTAAAGCGTTGTATCATATGATGGTTAAGGATACATAGTGTTTCCATATTGAAATATAATTTCTGAACTTCAGCAAATTCTATAGCTTTTTTTTTTAAAATCTTTTTTAAACATAAGTCACGTCTATTGATTTGGATAATTAGTTCGGTAATTCCTAAAAGTGCTATCTACTTAAATCAATGCTAATGAAAGTGAGTTGTGCACGTAAAAGAATAATGAGACCGCAGTGTACTAAAGAAAAACCCAATACTAATTACCAACGTTACCTACGGAAATTATTCGATTTCAGGTGGGCTCATAAAAACTTTAGGAAGAGAAAAATTTATGTGGACAAAATATAGCTACAAAACCTTCAAAAGAAATACTAAATATATTTTCTATTGACTAAATTAGTCATTACATATCACAAAATTTCCACATATATAGAATAAATTAAACAAAAAGAAAGGAATGAAAAAGAAAAATATCAGTAGTTGTATTCAGATTCAACATCCACCAAAAAATAAATTTATCGAAGTTCTAGGATGGTCCTAAAACCTTTCTTGTCTGATGTGCACTTAGCCTCTTTACGTTCTGCCTCGACCAAATCGATCACTCTCTCGAGCAACCATTGCAAGCGCGGTAGCTTGATGTGCCTATACTCCGAATGGATTTGATCTTTAAAATTATATAAGCAAAGCTTGGAAATTCTTGCAATCTAAATATGCCAAAGAGACCGAATGACATTTCTCTTCTTCATCCACATATTACTCCAAAGTATCCGTTTCGAGCCATCGTTAGCCACTCGACTAATCTCAAACTTTTCAGCATTTTTTTTCCTTTTTGAAAGTAGGGAAATTTCAGTAAGCTCACAAGGCTAGAGAGATTGATTGCAGAAAAATATATAGAAAAGGCGAATTGTATTTCATCTTGTGTAAGTATATGGATTTGGTTTCCTATAATGTAAGTAGGTTTTACAGTAGAATTAGGATTTGGTTTCCGACAATAACTAGTAAGTATATGGATCTTGGGATACATAGGTTTTTAGGGTTCCAAAAAAAATCCTAAACCTAATGCACTTTTAGTCTTAAACCTTTCAATTGTACCAATTTTAGTCCTAAGTCTTTTCAAAATTTACCAATTGAGTTTTTCTGGCCAATTTTAGCCGGAAATTGCTGATGTGGACACCAGTTGTCTTACGTGCCACGGCCAACGTTGATGTGAACAATTTTTCATTATTTTTCTCATTTCATTTTGGCCGGCGAGGGTTGCGACCCTCGACCGTGGCCGGAAAGGCTGCAAAGGCCCTAGACGAGGGCCTTCGCGCCCTCGCTCGCGGTCAGGAGGCTGCAATGGCCATGGCGCCGCAGGCAAGGGCGTGAAGGCCCTTATTTTGGACCAGAGTCGTTTCACCTTCCTTAGCTCTTATTTTTCACCTACGTGTTCGTTGCAATCTTGGAGTATGGAGATTTCTTCTTTGTGGATTGTGACAACATCAAAATGATGGAGATCTCCATTTTTATTTATCCTTAATTCCTTCGAGATGTAGATTCAAATTGTCGATGAGATTTCTTTTCGTAAAACAATTAACGAATAACAACAAAGATAGACTTATTGGTTTAATATAATAACTCACTCATGTTATAATCTAATCGTCTTTTTCATTTTTAGAACAACTACTGTACTATCAATTTCCTTCAGTGTCAAATCAAGCAGTTCAGTCATTCATTGGGTATCTAATTTGTCCCATGTAATCTGCACTACTCAACTTTCAAGGCATTTTCAAAAAACCACTTTCTTGTGCATGTAAGGTGAAGGTGTTAGTTTTGTCTATTTCTCATGTGAATCATTAAGTTGTATTATCTGCAGAAACCTTCTGAGTAAGGCATCTTAAGCCTGCGCAATTCAATAATTCTACCCAGGTTTATGTTGCTAAAGCAACCATGATAGACAATGAAGTGCTGAATTGAGAGGGGTGACATCCAAGACAAACATCAGTTGTATAGCTCCGATATCTGATCTTTATAGAGAGCCACAACCCTGTCCCTTCTAATTTTCATCGTTGGAGTCATCAGACCACTATCAATCTGGAAACAGAGAGCGGTCTTGGATAAGCAAGCATCCACATCAGTAGAAGAAAAGCGTCTATAGATTTCCTGGAATTCAAAAGTTACCGTCAACGGCTCATCCACGACGAGAATTGGTCCAATTTGGAATGTGCACTCCGAAGTCCTGTGTAAAAAAACACACAATATCTCAAGTGATTCTCTTGAAAGAAGAACAACCCCTCTTGTGATAACAGATGCAACAGGCGCACCACCATGCAAAAGAAACAAGACAAGATACATGAGGTGCAAGTTCACTAAACAAGGTAACGTAAAGTAATGTACCCTAAGATCAAGATAAATCCTTCTTTATTCTAGGACTACTTGAAGAAATAATCAGTCAAGAAAGACATAGTTGGAAGTAGTCTAAAAGTCATGTTAGCCAAGATCAATTACTTGCGCTAAAACATATTTACAGAAATTGCAGAATCAATTTCCTATTGTTGGATGTGCTTAATTCAACTTTCCAGATAACGATCGCCCTCAAAATCATGTGAATTCTCTCATATGATTATATTATATTTAAAGTAATAAAGATGCCTTACCAGGTTCTCAATTCTTCATGTAGTAGACTGGCCAAATCTTCTTTACTAAGTTCAGAGGCATTGGCATCTACTATAGACATCTCTTTTGCAGCCAGTAGGACCTCATCTTTGTTTGGTACAATTATTGCTCCTAGACGTCGTTGATCCTGTATTTGATAGATTTTTCCCCAGCAAAGTGACATTGTAAACGAAAAGTGAGAAAAAGACCAACAGATTATAGAATAATAACAGAAGAAAAGAAAAAGATATGAAGTATAAAGCTTTATTATCACCTGCCCAATAACAACAATTTGTTGAATCAGGCTACTCCTCATTGCAGCTTCTTCAAGCTCTGAGGGTTCAACATTTTCACCTATTTTTCCAGAAATTACTTCGATTAGCATGGGACGGGCATGCTGAATAAATAACTGAATGGAATGATATAGATTCAGTTTCAAAAAGCAAGTTTATGCAACAACCCGTGTGCCAAAACCATCAAGCCATCAAGCTCTCAGATTACCAAAAACATTTAGGTCAAAACCTACATAGGATGCCACTGAGGATTTAAAAGTTGGTTTCCATCACCCTAACAATCACACAACCATAAATATTAAAGCAGGAGTTATAACCGAGACAGTGGTGAAGTGGATAATAACTATTTGCACAAGACATGTCCATGTCATAGATGATATCAGTGAGTATTTGCCCAATTAGCACGATACCTGTGGAAAGGACTATAGTGTCCTTAGCACGGCCTTCAAAAACAATTGCGCCTCCGCAATGACGGCTTCGCCCTGAAGAATGGTTAGGTGCAATCCAACCGATATCACCGGTGTTGAGCCAGCCGCTCTCATCCAAGCTTTGACTTGTAGCTAAAGGATTCTAATCCAAAATCAACGACACAGAATTGGTCAAATTATATACTACAAGGATGATTATCAAACAAAAGGTCCTGGAGATTCAAGGAAAAAAAGTTTCTTGGTGAAATATGATAAAGACCCGTCTATTTGAGCAGCTGTGCATTGGCCAAAGCAAAGTCATCAACCCTGTTCCTTGATATAAACGAAATATTTCTAGAATCTACGCTGTTTTTCAGTGAGAAAGCATGTGTAGTTTTCGTCCAAACCTGTACTCTGGTGGCCTACAAAGTTCCAAATGTGAATTATACATTTATCCTAAAGAAGTGGCTGCCTATTCCAAAACATGTTGCATTCTCCATGAGATTATGAGACTTTGTTTCACGGGACATCTAGATGACTTTCTCTATCTTGTCAAAAGGGGGTCTTACCTTGTGATAACCCTTCATTACTTGTGGCCCCCTCACTTTGATAATTCCTTTTGCACTGGGAGGGAGAGTCTCATCAGTTTCAGGATCTACAATTTTGAGTTCGGTATATCGAATTGGATGTCCACTCGAGCCAAGAACCTTCAACGATCAAACTTATTAGTAAATCATACATGCACAAAATCTCATTCCAGTTGCTCAAGTCATTGAAGGTTTGATACATGTTCTTAAATACTCTTATGGTAATAGGTACTCCTATCGTACCATCCAATCTTCTTCTATTTCCTATTATCTATTTCTTCCTTCTCCAAGCGCCTCTAGATAGATGCAAAGCATGGAAAGGCACCATTTAAGGCGAAGCTTCCGTCAAGACTAAAGGTGGACCATGGGAAAAAATAATAAGAATGAAGTTGCTACAAAAAGATACAATGAACAAATCAACTGAAGGTGGTACTGTAGTAGCAAACATTCAAAGTCCAAATTTGTTGTTTGTCACGGAAAATCACTTAGTATTGTTTTAACTAAATGAAAGCAAATCACGAATCTCACTTTAAACAGACGTCTGTCTTACAATGCAGGTAGGTCTTCGACAAGCAGCAACTGGTGAACTTTCTGTCATACCGAACCCATCTTGTATTTTCACACCAATAGTCTGCGAAAGACATGTTTCAAATGAGAGAAAATCTATAAAAAAAAATGTTTTTAAACATCTTAACCAAATAAATGTCAAACCTCAAAGAATTTATCCACGAACATAGGCAAACGACTACCTCCACTAATGCCAGCCTGCAAAAATTTCCAGGAAAAAAAGATCATTCACTTGCAAAGTTATGCGCCTTTCCGTAATAGGACACATAATGCACTTGTTTAGATTGAATGAAGAAAGATAGCAAACTTAATAACCAAGACAAAACAATATAACTCTATTTTGATGACATTCCTACAGTGCTGCAGCAGACCGTAGAAGTACTCGCTAGAGTAATCTCTACGGTGGCTACTCTGTGATGTTGTAACACCAGATTGGAAGAGAAGTACCTTTGATATTCCAATGGCTGAACGAATCTTACTGTAAACTATCATCTCGGCTAACATGTGCAATGGCCATAACATAGCAGCAACAAATCTTGCCCACGAACAATCCAATATTGAAGCAAGCAATGAGGGTTGCTTTGGATCTCTTGTCAGATATCTACCCTGTTAAAAATCCATCTTATACTGAAAGTCTGAAGCTCAAGTGCAGTTCTTTTCACTCAATATTGATTACTAAAAATTTTATTCGTTCCTTTCATTTTCAACAAGAATTCATAGACTAAATAAAAGTATTTAAAAATTTTCGTCATCTAACTTATTTCCTACATTGTAATGAATCAGGTGCGAAGGCGTAGGAATACCCCTATAGATGGCCTTGCTTTTTAAGTGAGCCTTTCCTTTTATTGTTTTCGCTTGTAGTATGTAGGAACATAAGGATCTGATGTTAGCAGTGCCACCTGAACTAATGGACTTTAGGCTAGGATTTTCATGATAGTAAGTGCTACAATGTGCTTTACAGAGGAAGCTTGCTTCACAAATTTGAAAAGACAATAACTCCAAGCAACAGAAGTCAGACAAGTTTCTAACTGAAGGTCATGAAGATAGGTCCTAACAGAAAATCTCTTACACTGACAACCGCTGTTTTATGAAAGGAGTTAATCTGTGCAGAGACAGTGACAATCAGAGTCATTTAGAAAGAAAAGAGTGCGGAAGAAAGCAATCTCCTTATTAGAAGCTGGGTCCATAGTGAGATTATGGAATTACAAGGGACAAGTACGAAACCTTATAAAAAGATAGCAACATGAATGCATAACTGTTGCTCATTATATTCAGACCAACCCCTCCCAAAAGCATGGATATTGTCTTTAGACAAGGGCTGATAGGAATCCTGATAATTGAACCCAAAAATCTTCTTGATACCATACTAAATTAATAAGGGAATATTGACAATTGTCATAAAAACTTGAACTGACAAATGAGAGTGCAGTGTTAAAAGCGGAACCTAAACTCTTAGTAAATGTTCAATTTGATTCTTGAACTCTAATTCTGGTCTTTCCACTCATTAATGCGAACCAATTTTGTACTTTTATTTGACACGGCAATCTAACTCAATTGTGGGACCCGTGTGCTAGTTGACGTGTACAAACATGTCAGGGAAAATTAAAAGAAAAAAAAGAGAACAGCATAGAATAGAGAGAGAGAGAGAGAGAGAGAGAGAGAGAGAGAGAGAGAGTGGCAACACTGCTGCCCCAGTTGCGCTGAAAAGGGTCGGTGAGGCCAAGCAGGCCCTCTCCTGCTCACAGCAAGGCTGACTGCTCTCACCGAGGCTTCTTTGAGGGTCTCCGGCACGAGTGGCACCCCCTCTCCCCAGTGCTGTGCTGTTCCCTACTTTTTATAATTTTTTGTTTTTGCTGACACGGCTGTACATGTCAACGCCACGTCCGTGGGCCAATGGCCGAATTAGATTGCCATGTCAGCTAAACGACCAAATTACTTTGAATGAAAGAGTACAATGACCAATTGGACCAAAATTAAAGTTCAAGAACCCAATTGAACATTGACTAAGAGTTTAAGGACCAACTTTTGGCATTGTCCCTAGAAAGAAATGAGGTGTTACAGTTTCATCCTTTAAAAACAATCTTCAATTGATAGGATTTAACGTAGGCCAATGGTTTCCAACCCTAAATTAATCCATGTAGCTCAACGTATGAAACGAATATATTATTACGATCTTGACTTGTATAATGTACGTCCATCAGTAAAACATGATCAAGAAGTGACCTCGTATATCCTCTTGAAATCCATGAATGCCATGCTGATCCTGATAAATGTCAGAGCTATAAGCTTGCGAGCAGTAGAGCCTGTAGATAACTGTTTTAGAATCCCCCTGAGGCAGCAAAGCAAAGCGTAGTTGATTATACAATGCAAGGACTTCTTATTTGTTAATATGAATACGAAATGACCAATTATGGCGGGGCCTAATATTCCATTATAAGTAGCATAGAAAACCAAGAAAAAAGAGATAAAATCAAATCTGACAATACGGGATCCAGTGTCTAGCATGTGTTCGAATATGTTTAAACAGGATAAAGAGCCCAATTCGTACTCAACCCCATTACTTTTCGCGTATAAATGGAGTAATCCGCGAAGAACAATAAGGAGGGCATATAAATAAGATATCCTGTGATTATGTGCCTTGAGAGTTTCATAAATATATGCATTAAAAGTTTCAATCAACCTGTGACATGCTTGTACCTCTAATTGTATAATTACGACATCGTTATGTTTATGTCCATTAATGAGAGACATTCAGGTCATCTTGAGTCCTCAGAACGCTTTAACACATAACTGATGTCCTTTTTTTTGGCACATTCCTTTGACCAACATGCATTCCTTTTTACTCAGTAATGGAAACTTTACGTTTAATGTTGTTAGAGATGAGAGGCTAGATTCATAGCAAGATTATTATGGAGCAATGCAGCTTCAATGAACTCATATTATCAGACAGATTGCTTCATCCCACTGTTATATCTTGTGGGGGTCCAGATACGTAAATCGAGACCATGGGCAGAAGCTTGCTGTGCCTAGATAGTGTCCAGATTTGGTGACTGCTTCTAAAAGTCGACAATCAATTTGGGAGGAGAAGTGGGGAGATGATAACTAAACCAAGAATTCGCTTTCTTTATTATCAATTGAATCACTATTTGCAACCCATAAGCGTGCTACGCTGCTAGTATCCTATAAAACGAGTGAGTAGGGAGATACTAGAAAAAATAATTATTATACTCCTCCAGAGTGTAGCAACCTACAAGCTGCGATCACTCATATGATAGATAATGTCTGCCCATTCTAATGAACTACCTAAATACTCATTTCAATGGACGAGATACCTGTAGAGTGTCTCATAAACTAGAGGGACAGAGATGAGATAATGAGGTTGATATTGTTGCAAGTCCTCCTACAACAAGGGTAAAATAGAAAATGAGACGAAAGATTCAATTCCTAGAAAAAGATAGTTTTTCAGGATACTTAATGACTTCAACCCCAGAACTTCAGTATATGGGGTCTAGTGTCACTAACCCAACGTTACAAAGATTAAACAAGCATAAAAAAACATGAATATCTATTCTTTGAATTGTTCAGTCCTGTCTAAACAATGGAAGCAGAAATGATACAAATCTACCAGAAAACAGTACCTTCAGGTTCTTCACAGTTGTGTACATTTGCTCAATTCCATGTGTGAAAATGAAGTACTCACAGGAACGTTCATAGATATGCCATGGCGGAAGCACACTCAGAAATCTATCCCCAGGTACAGCAGGCACAATATCCCACAAGTTTCTTATCTAGAAAATAATAAATTATATAAGTGAACCTCCTCAGTGTGCAAGTTACCCTTGCAATGATAGGTAGTATGGGTTGGCCGTGCACGCATACTTAGGTTGCTGAAGTCTCATCGACCTCATCACGCTCAAAAAACAACATTGGAGCTATCCCAAGGCGCACAAACAGATTGGAAGCAAACAGAAGCATAAAGGACAGATCATGTGGAGATCCTATTGTCCTACTCTTTTGTGGCGCTTGAAGGCAGATTGCCTTGGCTGACAGGCCTATATTGATTTTGGGCCAATCGGCATGCCATGTGAGCCAAAACCCACCAATGTGAGCATCCGAGGTGAGGGGGTAGAGGCGATACAACCTATTTTCTTTTCACAAAGAGGAGATATAAACTTCTATGAAGCAATGTTTTCTTTAGTCAATATAGCATAAACCTCAAAAAGGAGGTACAAAAAACTTCACACATAGTTCAAAGCAACTATTGTAGTTGATAAGAGTGCATGTGCTAATGTTTCCCATGATCTTTTCATCTAGAGGCATATCTACAAAAAACATTAGATTAGTGACCACATGGCCTGAGTGGTGCCATGGTGCAAGTAATTAAGATGTTCTGAGGGAAGACATCTTCTAGAATGGGGATTGTAAGAAGAATCAAGATATCCCCAGGACGATGAAAGTACTTCTTAAGAGATGGTAGAGAACCGGAATATTTGCTTATGAAACTGATTGCAGAAATCAACGACCAGTCTGATCACTAAAGAAAGGGAAAATCATATGAAAGGGAGAAAAACAGAGGAGAAGAATGTACCCGAGAGCACAATAGAGCGAGACAGAAAATAAAGAACTCGAATTGAATTATCATGTGCGTGTGTGTGAGAGAGAGAGAGAGACAGAGGAGGTCAAATTTTTTAGCGGAACCTATAAACACCATAGGAGACGCAAAATGTCATGAACATAAATTTGCTGTGGCAGATTCCTTTGACCAACATGCATTCCATTTTACCCTGTACGGAAATTACAAGAATGCATGAATGGACATGGAACTACCGCTTTGACACTATCCATTACATTGAGGAAGTTGCTACTTCTAGGATAGAACCAGACAGATAGTCCAAGGGTTTCATTGTGTATTTTAGATACAAACAATTATGCTGTGTTGTAAGAATTAAACTTTTTTCTGCATAACTAAATTCAAAGAAGAAATGTGCAGCAGTTGGCAGACCTTTTTTCATATAGCATCAAGATCGAGCATATCACATTAATGGTGCCTAAAGAAGAAACAAATTGCCTCAGAGACTAATAAACCTGATGCAGCAAATTGCTATGCGTTAACATGATGCCCTTTGGGTTTCCAGTTGTCCCACTGGTGTAGATAAGCGTAGCAACATCATCAGAGCTGATGAGTTCATAGTTGCCTTGATTCCCTGCAATTGAACAAGCTTGTTATCAATTTGCCCGAGCCTTTCAGAAAGGAAAATAAAAATTATGTAAAATGTAGCATTCAAATTTATTTTTTGACGACAAGGTCTTAATTACTGAGATTTTCCTTCACAATATATTCACATGTTGCTAGACCTGTGCGCAACAGTGCAGCAAACTATATACTCTCTAAACTCAAGATACCAATCTCACTCATGTTTGAGTGAGACTTAGCCCTTGCTCAACTTGGTCGTAATAACCACTGTTGAAAGCTCTTCCTGCACCTATCCCTTTGTCCTCATTGTTAGAATAAATGGTTCCACTGTCATTAAAGTTCATAACCCACCAGTTGTAGGACATACCTGCAATACTGTGAGCTACTTGCATATGGGGAAAATGGTACAAGTTTGAAAGAGAATGTCAAACAGACTGTAGTCCACTTCTCAATCGTTTCTGGCTTTAATGGTTTGGTGTAACTTACAGTTAACTCAATACATTTGCTTTCTGATACCTGACTCTAATTAATTTGAAATGACTGGAAAAGCTGAGCAGAACAGACAAATTCTGATTCTGAAACATCTTGTCAATATCACAGAATTATTAAAGCAACCTTAGACAACCAATTATTGAGTAATTTGTTTTGACAGAAAAGTAAATTCTCTCTGTAAAGAGACTTCCAAGTACCCTATGGTCTGCCAGAAATACTGAATACAGTGAAGACATCAGTAACTTAGAGGTGTCCTTGGAGTCAAGCAAAGATTTACGGCTGTCTTGTCCCAGATTTATGATTTCATTGTAGCAAAAGATGGGCATGTCTTCTGTTTCTTCGATAGAAAGGGATGTTTTATCCCCCCATAGTAGAATAAGAAATCTTATAGATGCCTTATCACAGAAAACTTCTGCGATCCGATTGAACAATTCAGGACTATCAATGGCGAGAGCAACACTGTAGTAATTAAAAAAAGGATTTAATAGTGGCCTAGCCTTTCATTCAATTAAGTTAAGAAGAGAAGCAGAGAGCCGCATCTAAAATTATGATCGCACAGTGAGGCAAACATACTCAAAACCCAATAGTGACTCGAGCATTTTTACATCATCTTTGGTCAAAGATGCTGAAATCTGCCCAAGATGGGCTCATTTTGCCATGCAAATATTGGTGCTGACAAAGTTATTCATACTAGAGAGAGATTGAAATGAATGGCAGCACTACTTGATCAAATTTATTGCCACTCCATTTGAAGCACAGATTTTGCTAGTCATATTTGTCAAAACTGATTAGCATGCAATTCACGTACTATTTTCTTCCTTTATTTCTTCTTGGAACATCAAGCCTTTGAAAAAACTGACTGATTATCAGACACATTCAGTGCACACCCACGCACACTAGCTACAGGGATACCAATTTCCTGATATTTTTTCTTGAGCTGCTCATCCCATGTTCCCTTGCTGTGGTCATGATGGCTTGAATATCTTGGTATGTTTAAGATAATCAGCAAATGGACATACCATGAAGAGCATAAACAAAAGCAGTATAGTCCTGCTTATTTTAAGAAATTCATTATGAGAACCCAATTCCCAGCGTCCATAGAGATCTTTTGCACAAGATTTTAAATGCTTAAGCTGTTCCACTTGAAAGAAATGTGAGTGAAGTTTGATTTATTTGACAATACCTCAATGGATAACAAGCCAGACCAGAGTTAGCACCGTTGAATAGTTGTGCTCATGGGGCCGAACAGCAGAAGAGTTAAAACAGAAAAATATAGAAAAATAAAACATAAACACATACAACTAATGGGCAATCTGTAAAGCTGGCCTAGTTTACTGTGAAAGAGTTAGCACATCAGATAACTCTTGACAGAATAATGAAAGCTTTTATGCAAGCTGATGGAAAAATATGTCCTCCTAACCTCTCAGAATGCTGGTATATAAACAATAGCTCCTCAACAGATGACCGCGATCCCCTAACCACATTTATAGCTCCCGTGGCCATTATACCTAGCCAGAATAACATAAACAATGAGTTTAAACCTGAAGAACATCTACCCATGCAAAAGAATGACATACACATGAAGATTGAGCAAACACCTGGCCCATCCTCTTAGTGTACAATTAGTATAGTAGATTGAAAACATGTTATAAGCTCTTCTGGACAGTCTGGAGTGAGAAAAGTGGACAATGTTTGATTAATCAACAGGCATATGATTGCACAAGGCATCAAGCACCCAATTTAAATGAGATGCTGCATGAAAGAATCTGACTGAGATAATGCTGTTTCATGAGTATCTTTTGGGAATGTGGGCATGAATACCTTATTCATCACAACTTAAAAAAAGAAGCTACACAAAACACCAGAAGCACAAGACACCACCCCACCTAGGACGACAGCTTCATTTTATTTGGTAGTAGAGTACTTTCTAGAATAAGCTATTGATAGTATAAAGAAAATCAATTATTAGGAAATGCAAGCTACTTATGTTATTATACGAAAAAGCTGTCTTATATTCATTCTTCGGCATTGAGGTAGGTTTTGTAACCCTGAAAAGCAATAATACATCTCTAGCTAATTAGCAAAGAGTTTTGATCTATGAGGAGTTGATCAAGACTAAGAACATGAGGAAAATTACAAGGTTTTTTAGCAAAACAAAATAAATAGGATAAGATGAATGGGCATACTATATCTGAACAGTTGAGGAACAAAATATATGAAAATACAGAAACAAAAAGTTATCAGTGAGCAGAAAACTTTTGTTGAAGGAGCAATACACACCAGGCAAATACATGGTAGAGAGGTTGCACTAAAAGGAAATCCATGAGTCATACAGCAGCCTCATGAATAATTAATCTTATAACCCGGAATATGAGGAAATCAGAAAAAAAAATAGTTAGGTCAATCTGATGGATAACAAAATAATTAGGGTGGCTTATTGCCAATAAGTTTGTTTTCCCTGGTAAAGTGAAGAAATAAAAAGATCACGCCACCCTTCCAAACATGTAGCGAAAGAAACGGCAAAAAGTATTGGTAACGAATCTAAAAGATACATTAGTCAATAGTTATCATAAATCAATTGCATAATTGGTACATCAAATAAGAAACTTCAAGAAATAAAGTGAGCAATGCACAGACACATCCAGAAGAGAAGATATTCAGTCTCATATGAAACAATCGCAAAGCACAAGACTCAGATTTACTCTTTCTATGCATGGGAAGCACTTCATAAGTTGACTCATTACTTGATGGACAGTTAACTCTATTCATATTCAGAATTGATGAAAAAAGAAAGACCATTTTTCTGTTTAAGCCACAAAATAATGTCGTAGACATACCATGGCATTTATAGATGAATCTTTAACTCGAAAGGAAAAAAAACACTCCGATGGAACTCTGGAAATGGTTAAACATACATCCAACTGGACACATTGATCAAAAAAAGTTCTATTAGAAACAGGGGATGTACAGTCACAGGTTAAGAACGTTTGTCTAGTATTTATGGTTGCCCGACAAGGAGAGTCGGACTGCCACATTACATGCCTTGATCAGCAATCAGCCAACGGCATGAATTATCAGCATAGAGAGCTAATTTTTCATCTGGTTTCACTCCAATGACTCTAAGGCCTTCAGAAAAGTTCAAGATTTCCTGCTCCAGCTGCAAATTTTCAATACATAAGCCAATCAGAATCTGTTCAGAAATCTAACCAACATATTCAACATCACCATATGAACCAAAAAAGAAAAATCACTATCAATAATCGGCTGGGGTTCTCCATACTTCCGATTGGCTGGGAGAAGGTGAAATGACTTGAATGAAAAGGAAGATCCACAAAAAGAATCTATTGATGCTACATCCCAGTCCACCACATTTGCATAGTTTGACGTACTTCCTGATTAGTTTTTGTTCATATACCTTTCTCCACTGAAGAGTGGGATGCATACCTGAACCATGTTCAGGATACAGGAGAGCTTTTAGTTTGTCGAAAATCTGGGTTGTAAATTTATTCATCCAGGACATATATGCAGTTTTACGTGTATTGATGCATATAAATACGTCTACAGGAACACACGCATGCGCCCACATGCTGAGACAGAGAGAAAATGAGAGAGCACTATGATAAAATTACAAAGGGAGAAGTGAAATTGTGATATGAGTGGAAAAAGATGGTCAGAGATAACTGAATAAATTAAGAATATGTTAACAACACGCATTAATGATCAACCATACTAAATTGATAATTTGCCGAAAGGCATTGCTCAGATAACATAGAACTTTACACACTGAGTACACAGTAAAAATGTCGCAATCTATATGACTAGCTCTAGAGAGTACTTCACAAAAAATTATGCAGAAGCTCTAGAATTTCCAGCAAGTAGCCATAAAAGGTCATCCAATGCCAAACTCACGTTTGAGAGTATTAAATGGATAGATGTAGTAGAAGGTATCCACTCGGCTTATTTGGCAATGCTTTCAGGAAAGACATGTTAACACTTCAAATGCATCATTGGATGACTTCTATCTATTACATCTTAGTGAAAAATCCAAATACCTACCTGATTATAAGTGATGTTTGAAGGTGGGTTATGATATGGATCGACAAGTGCAATCTGATCTCCATACGTTTCTGCAGAAGACCTCCAAATGTCAGGAACAGCTTGCCAATCATCGGATCCTAAGCGACCACCACTCGACAGTAAAGTGCCTTCGAGAAATGGTGAATATCGCCTTATCAGCTTTTCATCTGTCTATACAAATTCAGGGGTATCAGGTACAGATCATGAAATTTTTCCTAATGGGGGCGAACTTGATAATTACATAAGTCCATGAATTCCATTGATTCAAGTAATCAGTGAGTGTAGTAATTCTTTACATGAAAAATTACATGTTCATCACTATTAAATTGTCTATTCGGATTCGTATGTGGGGGAAAAAATGAAACGAATGTGGAACAATAGGTTCTCCACGAATTTCTTTTAGAAACTTTACGTGGTTGAGCAAAAAATTTGAAAACATTGAATCGTGTCTACATTTTACTAATATGCAAGTGGCAGCAATTGCACCCACATTTCACAATGTGGATACATGCACGAGGGTTATGTAGAATATTAGAATCCTCCTAATTTAATCACTCTCTACACAGTGCAGAAAGATCATTGTCTTGAGGATTTAACAAAAAATAGCGACAGGGTATTTTGAATATGGAGAACTTCCTCAAACTTAATACTTGGAAATAATTTCCAATCGCACCAAACGAAAAGGGTAAGCATGTCTACGCCATTCCCAGAGGTCTACAAAAGCCAAACCAACCCCAGAGAATCCAACTACATTGAGTCTGGGTCTTCAGCATGCCAATTGTCTCAGCATCACAATTTGAGAATATGAATTTCTATGGTCAATATCTCTTTATCTAATCCAATTAGCAGAGAGCTGAAACAATAGAGTTCGAGCATCTGAATGAACAAGTAAGATCCTCAAAGATTGTCATGTGTATGCCATCACATGCATACGTAACATATATTATAACAAAATTCACATCGTTTGCCTATTCTGTAGGACCAATCGAAGAAACCAAAATGACATCTATTATGGCATCTCCCTCGTACAGTGGAAGTTGGGTCTCAGAATCTATCAACATGCATTCACTGATCATGAGATATATACAGAGTTAATTAACATTTTTAAACATCATTATACAATAATTAAGGACTAAAAAAATAGAGCAACATAAATCCAACAATTTTCTTCTCCTTGCCATCTCCAGCGCAAACGAAAACGTTCAAACGCAGACTGATCATTGTAACCGTATGACAGAGACCATCAAAACAAGAGATTCCATGATTAAGCCATCAGAATAGAATTGGAATCTAGAGACCGAGCAGATTAATACCCAGAAGATTAAATTTCCAGAGACTCTGAAAGAAATTACCTGGCAAGAAACTCGAAGCGTCCGCCTAGGAAAAAGCAGGGTTCGGCCTCCCCAGCATCTTCTAGAGCAGAACTTTGCTACGTTCAAGCCAAAACGGCCAGAGAAGCCGTAACCATGATAGCAGGGAGCAGCGGTGAAGCTGGACGTCAAAGCGTTCGTTGTCATCGTGCTCACAGAAGAGGAAGAGGAAGAAGAAGAAGAAGAAGAAGAAGAAGAAGAACAAGAAGAAGAAGAAACTGATTGAGATTATTAAAAGATTGACATGGAGAAGCGAACAAAGAAGCCACTATCGAGAGAGAGAATTTGTGTTTGTCTGGGCATGTAATGTATCTCTCGAAGTCTCCGTCGTCGGCCATGGGAGTCTTCGAACTGAATGTCATCATGCTTGATTCGCCATTTCCAGGGCTTGCACTATTTCTCAACTTTGGCGGGAAGGTCGATTCCAATGAAAGGGGATTTTAATTATGGGTTAATTTTTAATTCTACAAAAAACCCCAAATTGATACATATGTGACGAATTTACCCCAAACTAATTTTTTGATCACAAAAAAATCCAAACTAGTACACTTGTAACAAATATACCACAAACTAATTGTTTTACCGTAAAAAACTCCAAACTGGTACATTTGTGACAAATTTACCCTTCGTTAATTTCCATTAAATTGGATTAATACCACAAAAAATCACAAACTGGTATAAACGAAGGGTAAAACCCCAAATCGGTACACCTGTCAACTGTCACATGCTATCAAACTTAGCAATTTGACGGTAAAATTTAACGAAAATTGACCGACGGTAAATTTGTCATAGATGTATTAGTTTAAGGTTTTTAGTGGTCAAAAAATTATTTTGTGGTATATTTATCACAAATGTACCAGTATGGGGTTCTTGGTGGTATTAACCCTTTAATTATTGACCAGAATATAGAATATCTTTTCATTTCCATCGATTTCCTAAATCAACCAAAAAAATTATGTTATCTTTTTATTACCTTTTTTGTCTTTATGAGAATTACCATAGTCTTCATCAAGTATATTTTAGCTTATGATGTTCTATAATAGTAAGAGTATAACCTCATTTAGGTTTGTATCGGGTTGATCTTCCTACTATTTTAAATTTAATTATTTTCATATAGATATGTAGTAATAATATTAATCTAAATGTTCTTTCTAATATTTTAAATAGATAAAATTTTCGAGCTTTGGTGTTTTGTGTTTTCATTATTAAATAAAGTTGAATTTATGTGTTTTTATCTATATTTTTGGATCATAATCTGAGCCTAAAAACACAAATTCAACTGAATTTAATTAAGAAAGCACGAAACACAAAAGCTCGAAAATTTTAGGGATATATTCACTAAAAGTCCTAAAATTTATCATCAAAGTGCAATTAAGTCCTAAAACTTGTCAACTTGGTTCAATTGAGTCCTAAAGTTAACATCATCAAATTGTTTAACGAAAAATACTGACGTAGCATATTTAAATCAATTTCTCTCTCTTACGTGGCATTTATTATTTATTTCTCATTCAAATCTTATTTGAATTAAATAAAAAATTTAAATTTTTATTTACAAAATCAACAATGAAAAAAAAAAAGAAAAAAAAGAAAGGGGAGGCCTTGCCCTTAGGTGTTACCACCCATCACTAGAGTGGCTAGCGCTTGCTAGCCTCAGGTGAGGGTCGACGACCCTTGCTAAGCTAGAGCAAGGCTCACCCAAATCTAGGAGAATCCGGCCATCGCTCAGGCTAGTGAGGCCTAGCGAGCATCGTTGGCCCTCACCCGGGGCCGGCCGGCAAGACCTCGCCCGAGGCGGACGATGGTCACCAGCTGCGAGGGCCAATGTTGCCTAGATTTAGGCACCTCAACCCAGATCTGGGCGAGCCTCACCTGGGGCTAGCAAGGGTCGGCCACCCTCACCTAGGCCCGGCGATGGGCGGCGGTGGCAACTTCCAGCCATCACCGGAGTGGCTGGCGCTCGCCAACCCCAAGTGAGGCTCGACAACCCTTGCTAAGACTGAGTGAGGCTCGCCCAGATCTGGACAAATCCGGCCGTCGCTCGAGTCGGCGAGGGCTGGCAACGCCTTGCCCAGGCCTGGTGAGGGTTGCCGGTCGGCAAGACCTCGCTCGAGGCGGACGATGGTCGTCGACCGCGAGGGCCGACGTTGCTTAGATCTGGGCACCTCAACCCAGATCTAGGCGAGCCTCACCTAGGGCCAGCGAAGGTTGGCCACCCTCGCCCAAGGCCGGCGATGGGCGATGGTGGCAGCCTCCGGCGATCGGTGGGGACGGTAGCGCCCTACCGGCGAGGCCTCCTTTTCTTTTTTTCCATTATTATTTTTTTAAATAAAATTTTAGCTTTCTTTACTTTTTTAATCTAATGTAAATAATATTTAAAGAAGAATAATAATAAATGCCACGTAAGAGAGAGAAATTGATTTAAAAATGTCACGTCAGCATTTTTCGTTTAACAAATTGACATTGTTAACTTTAAGACTCGATTGCACCAACTTGACAAGTTTTATGACTTAATTGCACTTTTTGCAAGCTTTAGGACTCTATTGCACTTTGATGACAAGTTTTATGACTTCTAGTGAATATATCCCAAAATTTTATCTATCTAAAAGATTAGAAGCATGATTTATGAGTATCTATGAATAAATTAATATCGTTTTTACTTTTATGAAAACACTTAGTGATGCGGGAGCATCAAGCTTCATTGATCAGCTCTCAAACTTAATCATGTTTTGTCGATTGAACCAATCCATTTGTTAATAATGCAAGCAAAAGCCAATTTTAGCTGCAATTTAATTCTGTTCATTCAAGTATGAAGTTGCCGATTATGCAGTATAGTTATCAATTTACAAAACTTGCTGTCGACTTTGAGGCTCTTAATCGACTACGTAAGAATTGGAAGTTGTTCTGATCGAATTCATTCGCTGTTTGTTCATCTTATAAGTAAAATTATAGAGTTACCAGGGTTAGGTTTACTATTCCTAGAAGAACTAGTAAGAAGTAAAGAGTGATCTGTCGTCTCATCAACTAATAGGCTTAACAGTCCATGATATGGATATACGCTCTTTCATCTCTCATTGTTATGGCAAGACAAACGTGAAGAAAAATGTCATTGAAGAACAATGCTTGCAAAAGAAATAAAACAATGTGTGACGTGGATTTCTATCCAGCCCAAGTAGCTACGTAAAATTACTTATGGAGCATGTGATGATTTTAAAGATAAGTATATGATGATCATGATGTAGTCTTTCATGGCATCCGATACCATTTTAAAGAGTTTTCTCAAATAAATGACGTGCTTTTTTTTTTGTGTGTAAAAAGTAAATATTATAAAGCAGATGAAATACGACAGCTTAGGGGCGTTCCCTAGCATTATAAATAGAGCTAATAATTCAAAATGACATATGAAGGAAGTTTTCATATATTTGCCAATACAATATTTGTCTGGGAATGCCTAATTTTTTGATAGAGTGAAGCTCTATATCTACTGATAAAAAAAAAAAAAGAAAAAAAGAATCTCTACCTCTTACAATTTTGTGCACCTTAGCCAAAATGATATGGATGTCAGTTGACTTGTTTTGAAATCGTCTGCGGTTGTGCTCCATCCAAATGCAATACATGGTTGCTACGAAAGATACTTTGAGGAGTCGTGCCGCCAAATCTTTCCCCTTTGTTGCCTTAATCATTCATTGAAGTTCCTTATTCTATACTCCTAGAGAGCGCCTAATCCCTTGTTGTGCCAGAATATTGCAACATATGTTGCCTATCCACTCACATTGGAAGAACAAGTGTGTTCTTCCATACCGACCCTGCAAAAGCTACACTGGATATCGACTGAAGTCAACCATTGGGCTACGATCTTTGTTGTCAATGGTCTGTGTTTGCAAACTAGCTGGCCAATGAAATTGTGTTTGCTAATGCCGTTTGTCTAAATTAAGTTATATTACTTCACAATCGGTCCCACATGTCTGAGTTCTTCACAAATATCTTGGCAACAATACCTTGGGCTAGAGATAACCGAGGTGAACAGGTTGCAATTTAAGGAGACATCGCCAACTCTAAGCCATACCGCTCCTAATGTCGAGCTGCATGATTGGGGTGACTCTGCATTTTGTGTTGTGAACCCAAATACTCCAAAGGGAAGAGGACAAATGATTGATGAGGTTCCACAGTATGCATCCTAATAATACTTTGTTCCAAATATTCAGATTGAGCAATATTAATCCTCTTTCCCTTTCAGGTGAAGACATGCTTTCTCATTTTAAATAAATTCCATTATTCTAATATGTGACACTTGTTTCCAACTTTCCAGTGTTTAAATGATGCAACACTAATCAATTTACAGAAAATATTTTTCATGAATTAAAAACAACAAGCTTAGATTGGTGAAAAATGACTTTCTCTTCTGGCAAAAAGAAAATAACTTTTCCTTAACCTCCAAATAAATTAAAACTAAGGATTTTCCTTGAAAATGATCTCCATTGAATCATAAAATGTTCGACGAAACAAACGCACCCCTAGTATATTTAGAGTTTCCAAAAGTAGTTAAGGAAAAATATTTTCTATCATTTTTTCATGGATAATTTCAAATTTAATTTTAGGCAATGTTTACTTAATTACTTGAGGTTTAATACTTGAATAAGCGGTTGTCATCCCCTAAATAATTAAAGATGGAGCTTTTTTCTCCAGAATAACCGAATAATTTGGTAGTGCGTGTGGAATTTGCTTAGGTCTACAAAAAATCCTTTAGAACACTCACAATGTCAATAATTTTCTGCATTTCTATTTTCCATTTAATATATATATATATATATATATATATATATATATATATATATATATATATATCTAGTCCGATAAATATATATGGCCCTTTACTAATTCTCAAATGGATCGGGTAAAATCAAATAGGATAACTCTTTGGGGCTGCTTCAGTAGTTAAAAGAGACATGTGCGTGGACTATATTGAAAACTATTTTTTGTGGTGGTCGAACAATTGAGATAGTCGTCGAAGTGAAAATGCAACGTCAGTCTATTCCTATCGCCCCATTACTTTGCTGATGTTGATTTGTTATGACGTGGAAGTGTCACGTCAAGTTGGGACGGGATCACGGGGGTATATTTTTGAAAATAAATTGAATTTTGGTGATTTT